GCCAACTCTAGAACGCAAAACCACTCTCCAGCAAGCAAACGTCTTACTGTATTCACGTCATAATCGATCATAATACCGAAAATTGATTTTATATCGATAGTTATAAACTACGTCACTCACGATACATGGTAAAGTTGCGCCCTCTATAAAAATACTTCCCCACATCAATATATGCCATCTGTTGATTAAACAATCGAGGTAGGAGCACAATGTCGTCTTCTGTAATCGATCCTATTTCATACGGGTCGATGGTCGAAAAGTCTTCAGGCTATTTCTTTCCAGTTCCCTATTTCATACGGGTCGATGGTCGAAACGTCTTCAGGCTATTTTTTGCCAGTTTTGCACACACTTCGTCTTCAGGTAAATGGATGAACCACGTTCTTCTATCCTGCCACCCGGGTCTTACCTTTACATTTTAATTATAATAGCTGTCCCGGTGTAAGAACTGCAATGAAGACACTGACCAAGACATGCGATATCCGAGTTTTTAAAATGCAGAACTGTCTTTCCCATAAAATAAGAATCTTTCAGGCATCACGAACAAACTGAATTAAAATCTCTTTCAGTTAAAATATCGTTTGTGTGTAGTTAATTGTAACTTATGTTAACACCATGTATAACGAAATATATTTTATCCAAAATACGTTCACCATTTGATGTTTGTTCCTTTCAAACAATTAATTTATATAACAAATTACCGGTACATTAACTACAGGCGTTAATATAGATGTGACATATTAAATATTGGGTCCGCAGTGGCCGCGCGGTCTGAGGTATGGGCCTTGTGCCGCTTGGTCGCTGGGACCGTGGGTTCGAATCCCACTTAAGCCATGGATGTTTGTCCGCGTTGTCCTGTGTACAGGTAGAGGCCTTGCGACGGGCCGATCCCTCGTCCAAGGAGTCCTACGGAGTGTCTATAGATCGAGCCAAGGAAAAGTTGGGACCCGCAGTGCTCAGGCACTTGTAGAACGGGTCGTCCAAGTATCCAGGCCATTAATACCAAATACCGGCTATTCCATCTGAGATTTTAAATGGTTTCCCTCAGTCCCTCCAGTCAAATGGTGGTATAGTCATTTTCTTTTAGTATCTCACAATTCGACATGCGCAGTTAAGTAAGCATCGTTTAATATAAAAATCAGGCCCACTTCTTGCCAAAAAATGTGGAAGTCCAACCTGAATTTATTGTAGGTGTTGGTAATAAAAACGTTTAATTATACATTAACTTTCACCTTTGTTACTTGTCACATGGACTTAACTTTCTTGTCTATATAGTCAAGGAATGGAGATATCTAGTGGTGACAGAGGAGATTAAGTAGCGTTCTACCGCTTCTCGGTGAGGTTCTGATTAGCTTAATGAACTGTCAAAAGCAGCACAATTCCAAATGTCCTCCATGATGATTACGTTTCCCTGTTGTATATGTGAATCAAAGGAGAAAGCTCAGTCAAATGGCGATAATACAGGCTAACGGACTGCACATAAACTCACAGGCCGATGGAAACTAAAGCGTGTGGACATGTGCCGAATTTGGGCACAAAGAAAACTCTTTTCTTCACGAGGAATTCTCTACGGCATACAATTGAAAATAAAACATTGTATGAAGAAATAAAGGGTAAGAATTCATATCCACAAATATTAACACACTCCAGAGTGTGATAAGTCACTACTCCTTTTAAATATTAAAGACACGGGAAAAGTTTCAAATTAAGGCTGCCCACTGTAAATAGATCGGTATTTTATATCAAGTAGCCAATCACGTTTCTTTGCAAAAACACGTCACTGTTTGAGAACACTGCTTAAATGCATTGCACATGATTAATTTTGGATTGACAGAACCATAATCAAATATGTCCGATATGATTTAGTATAAACCGCCACTACCATATTTCAACAAAATCCGTCATATGGTTTAGGAAATGAAACACACATACTGAAACGACATATCCATTTTTGCGTTCCTTTTACGCACGGTGTACAACATGTAAAACATGAAAATGTAACGGCTGAACGAAATCTGCACGTGTAGACTATAATGTATAATCAACAAGAACAAATAAAGTTGCCATAACCAAGTGAGTTACTCCGACGGTAATAATTATTGCTAACACAATAAAGGTTGGAACTGTCCAAGAAATGTCCTTTTATAAAACCAGAATGTTTGCATCACTTAGAACACCCCCTCCCACCATCTGCTCCTGTGGGCCACCCGAGTAATATCTTCCGTTGAGGTTTTTGACTAAAATCTTTATCAATCAAGCAGTCACCATGCATACTACAAGTCCAGACGAGCTAATCCTCCTTCAATTAATCATTCTAATAGCATTAGATGAATTCGTCACAAGTATACAATAATGCAATACATGATAAGATACATCACGCCAAGCGACACCACGTGGGGAAGGTGAGAAACACTGCGATAAACAAATGCGAACCTACCTCCGTACAGATAGCCGCGCCGATCAGCACTGTCAACAGCACTCCCCACTACCCAACCAAACTCGACGGGATCCGACGCGTAACTGAACAAGAGTAGTCGCAGGCGTCATTGCAGGCACTACACACAGATGACACCACCATACGCAAGGAAAACAGTACAGGCAACAGCACGCGCAAATTGTTGTCCCTTACAATTTTGATATCGAAGAACGCTGGGTACCTACAATGATTGGGGCCGAAGGATTCACCTTGAAAGTTTTGAAGCCATTAAAATACAGAAAACTATAATTAATACCCATTTTATATCAATGTGAAACTTCTCCATCCTAACGGAAAGCTCGTTTTTGACGAAGGTACTGAGAATATTTAGATCTACGAGAGAAGTAACAGGAGAATGAAGAAAATTACACAATGAAAAGCTTAATATATTTTACTCTTCAGATAATATTTTCGGGTAATCAAATTAACGACGATGAGTTACGCGGGATGTGTTTAAATGCACTGGAAAGATGGGGAGTGTGCACAAAATATTTATCGGAAAACCTCGGGGAAAGTAACTGCTTGTGATATCACAGCGTAAACTGGAAGATATTATTAAAACGAATCTTAGACAAACGGAATCAAATGGCGGTTTCTTGTGAACACGGTAATAAACATTCGGGTTTGCATCAGGGCCTGGACCACGGCCTTGCCCAACACAAGTTATAAATTCGGGCACCGCCGGGAATCGAACCCGAGACCCCAGGATTACAAGGCCAGCGTTCTAACCGCTAGACCACCGTGGCTATGTTCCTTACGTACATGAAGGAAATTCGATCGCTAGATCACAAGCAGAAGAGATTGAGTACGGACCAGTTTAGACGGGTCTCCCCTACTTTAATCTGTGGTCATTCAGTGCAAAATCAACAGGGAATAAAAACAAGAAACGCCCAATGCGTTCTTTACATCCCTGCCTGGTTTCGGTGTTCGACAGAAACAAATTGCTGCTTAGATGCATTGCATTTCCTCAGATGTACGTCGTACGAGACATAGAGTAAAAGTAAAGTTGTTCCCGCAAAAATGTTTTAAGGTATTTTACATCATGGATAGTAGTCTTTACGCCCCGGTTAACACCAGCACGACGGGACAAGCTGTGACCTAGCGGCTGAGAAACTCACAGCATGCTGTATGTCTGTCCGTCTAGGCAGTGGTTCGATTACAGACACCGAGAAATAGGTCTTGTAGAAACGTGTTATGAGCACAGTGCCGTGTACACACCCCGAACTGTCATCAACAGAACCAATATAACGATCGTAAGCACACTGAGCTAGGAACAATACGTTTTCTACCTTTTTTCTCCCAAGCTTTCTTCCTATGTATCAATATTTTTTTGTCCGATGGTACGCTACCTTACATGGTAATTACTTCACTGTGTTATAAATTATGCTCGTGTTCACTCTTGTGGAAATCGCTCTGCTGAGCCATGTATTGGAAGAGTAATTAGTGAAGATCTGCGTCTATGTTGAACCATTAAACTTTCTCAGCCAACGCTTACTTACCAGCTGCCAAAACCACACCATTTTGTTCATAAGAAAGAGGATAAATGCAGCTGGAAATAAGACTCTCACTGACCAATGCAAAACAATATCAACAACCATTTATGAATCTTTTATTACACTGCAATTATTTTGAACCTAAATTATTGAGGGTGGGTTTAATAAACGTTATGATTTTTGTATTATATGTAAATATCTTCAGGTGACTATTCGTTACTGTATTGACAAACTTTTTCTTGGCAGCTACAGGAACCTGCAATATCTAATATTATAAAGATAATCTCCTGAAGATGGGAAGAGAGCCAACATCCGAAACGTCGTGTGCATATAAATACATGATAACGGCCCATGTCCTGCAAAGAAGTAGCGTAACAAATCAAGCACAGTCATAGTCATTTAGTGTGTGTCCAGACGCGGATTGATTGAAAAACACTGGATCGATTGTTGCATGAAGACCTCAAACTTTTCAAGGTCATTCGTATACTATTTTCTCACGCATATACATAGTGAACTGTACGAATCTGAGTGACATTGCAGACAATATTTAAAGGTCATGGGTATGTCAAAGTCATGTATAGGTCGCAATATATACTCAGTGCCTACATTGTGTTGGGATAGATTACGTTAGGTTGCGTTAGGTTAAGTTGGGTTAGGTTTGGATAGGTTGAATTAGGTTGGGTTAGGTTAGGTTAGGTTAGGGTGGGTTAGGTTAGGTTGGGTTAGGTTAGTTTAGGTAGGGTTATGTTACGTTATGTAAGGTTGCTTAAGTTGGATTAGTTTAGATTAGTTTAGTTTAGGTCAGATCAGATCAGTATGTTGGATTAGATTAGGTTATGTGCCAGAGAGACGTCTTTAAAATTCTCAAGGTCATATATAATTTCCTCCACAGGATTAATAATAAATGACAATGATATTTTTCTGATCACAACCAGATTCTGGAAGAATTACTTGGGAAAATTTGCTTAATTTATGGTCATTAACCACTGCTATAACAAAGCACTGTAACTAAGTCAATGTGTAGTGTTCCTTACCTATGGAAAAGTGTTGAGGCCTGCTGCAAATGTGGCATTTCTTCAGGTGTAGCCTTTGAGCTGTTGTAACATCACTTTGCTGCACAAACACTTATTGCACAGCATTTTTGCACCCTTCCGGCCCATAACATATTACTCTAAATGTAGAACATTGTATTATAGCTTTAACAGCCAACAATTACAATCTTGGCGATAATGTGGATTTTGAGATTATGTCCAAGAAATTTGACATTTACAAAGCTAAATTGAACTTAATTTGTGAATTATAAATGTTCAATATCTAAATATTAAAATAACATATATTTAGTATAAGCACTCTGTAATAGGAAAGAACAAACATAACCTTTCGGCTTTAGTCTGCCTTTAACTCACACTCTGTCCACCTTGGCGTGCACATAGCCGATCGGCGGCGTGTAGCTCACTACTACTACGAGTCGTTGTAGAATGAGCCTTGGAGGGGGAGGGGGAGGGGGAGGAGAGGTTTGCTGGTCAACAATGAAAATTCCCTCGTAAACAACAACATATTCCAACTTTCATTCGGTAAACAAATTGTCGTTACCATGCAACAGTGAGAAGAGACGTTTTTATGAACATAAGAAATGGCCTTTTGGAAATCCAAGACACCTAGGTTTCAGGAAAGAATTAGTAAGTATATTAATACATTTGTGTTTATTCCTAATCAAACAACTATTAATGCATTTCAGTCCATTGCTAAATCTGTTTTAATTTCGCTAATATGTCCACGAGGAATAATGCAAGCCCTTTCATATTCTCACGTTTTTTATACATACTTCGTAAAGGTAAATGTAACTGCAATATTCCTTAGATGTGTTTTAAAACAATATTTTATCACGTCTAATTCTTAAATATTAAAGAACAATACATGTATATAACAAAAATGTTGCCAGTTCTTTGTATGAATGTGAAATGTGATATTACTATGAGAGAGGAACATGTATTACAAGATTTTAACTCTAAATGTTCAATATATTTTTTATATTAAACAGACGAAAATAAAATGCTAGGATAGCAATAAGATGGATCTTGAGTTGATTTTTGAGGATGGGAGATTGATACAGATGGCTCAGGATATTTTCCAACGGCGGGCTTTGGTGGTAGTGGTATTCGAACCTTAGGGGTCTGCCCCCAGTATGGTGGCTGTATATTTTGTTGCCTAATTTAAATACATAACCAAGTTTGCCAAACCCACCCAGAAATAATGCAATTCATTTGCTAAATAATATTACGTAGCAGCAGTATGATATTATATCCATTGAACATCCGTTATTATACCAATTACGTACTAAAACGATAAACTCATCACACATAGTCATCAACATGTAGAAGCAGTACATTATTCTCTCACTTCTGTCTGTATCAATACAAACTTTAACTTTATGGATTAATTAAAGTGTACAGTTTAAAACGATAACATATTTAGATATCTTCAAGCCATCAGACCATCGGTATTGTACATAAATGTGAATATTTTACTCCATGTACCAACTAAAGAAATTAATATACAAACATGATTATTAGTCTCGTAATATTGTCTTTCATGTCGAGCCCTTGATTCCTCTGCTGCAGCAATGGTTCTAGGTGATCGGTATTAATCACGATCATCATTATGCTTCTTAGGGTCACAGATTTTCAGACACTCATGAATTGTGTTCCCTCCTCAAAGAGATAATTTATCACATCCACGCCAGAACGTAAAATTCGTTTTAAAGTACACTTTCTGTAAAATAGGAATACAATTTAAAGTTTTAAGTACATTATTATGTGGTACCACTTAGGCTGTGCACCTCCTCCGACAAAGTATGCCCCACACAACAAGAATCAAGTGAAGGGACACGTCCCTTACGACAAACAGAAGACCTCCCGGTTTCTGGACGCAGAGCACGAAAGAAATAGTAAAAGTCGGAGCAACCAAATTCGGGTGAAAAGTAGATCCAAGGTAATTTTTCTAGTAAAATTAACTCCTCCTTGAAAATATGATAGGCTCTAAGCTAATGATGAACCCGAATGTTCATTACCGTGTTCACAAGAGCACGCCAATGGACCTTCACCGTATCCAGATAAGTCGAGTCCACATTCTCATATGCTGTTTCTTTAGGACCCATTTAAATATTATCCTCCCATTTATACCTAGGTCTGCCAAGTGGTCTTTTCCCTGCAGGTTTTCCTTATGCATAATACTATCTTACCTTTCTTGATCCGACCACATTTCTTACATCACTATTATCAGTATTATGCCTTCTTTGCACGAAATGGAAACAGAGGGTTATCGCGTCCGTCTGTTTGTTTTCATATTTCAACTCGAGAAACGCTAGACGGATTGTTATGAAATTTGGAAGTTATATTTTAGTTTTTGATTTATCACCTACCACATTCTATTTAATGAAAGAACATAATCACCCAACCAAACACCATTATAATTTAAATCCAGTGACACAGGCTCAATTTTATTTGTATATAACATAACAAATTCAAATGTTTTATTTTTCCTGTCTGAAGAATTTGCTGGAAGATGAATTAAAGACTGCGAAACAGAATTTGCGCGATATGGAGCAAATGTTTTGTGAAAGTGAAATTACAATTGCTCAGCTCCTGACTGAGAATAAAGAGTTGGAGGAACTACTACAGATGCAAGACGAATTTTATTCCAAGGCAGTGGGATTGCAGATGAACAAGTCTGCAGAGGAAAAAGTGATAAAACTTAGGAAGCAAAAGCGAGAACTTGAACTGAGGTTTGTTTCACATTTCCATAAATTTTCTTTTACAGATTTCTCTCCTTCTACATGATATGAGAACTTGAACTGAGGTTTGTTTCACACTTCTCTCCTACATGATACAATCCAACCCTGAAATAATTTTCCTAATTCTAAGACACAAAGTTTTCCTTGGAGTGTTTATACTCATCTGGTCACAGAAATTCACTGTTGTCATTCAACTCAAAATGATCATCACTGTACTTACAAGATTACATAATTTGATTCTATCCTGAAATAATTGATTAAAGTTCACAACCTGCTTCTCAAAAAATCTATTTAATATCATCATCCTACTTACACTCACATCTCCCAAGTACCACATTACCACAAGTCACAAAATTACCTGCTGTGTTACTAACTGTCGCAACAACCAGTGTGTCTGTCAAGTGGTCATTCTGTGCTTTGAAGATGGATTATATTTACCCACACAGAACACAGACTCAAGAGAATCTCACAAAGTTATCATTAATGACACCTGAGAAGAAAATTATTCAATACTTAGAAAACAGTCTGAACTTCTGAGACTCCATGATAGGTATTTTCACAACAAAAAAAATTGTCACACAGAACTGGTGCAGTGAAGAAAATACACTCAGTAGCCACTAATCATTTTTCTTAGTTTACATTACTTTCGTCTATTATTGCTAACTTTATTCATTCTTAGCTCAAATTTGTATAATTGTCTTGTACAATGTATACACTCAATTTTCAACATTTTCATGACCCCCTTCCCCCTTCATCAGTATTTCGTTAGCACTTCTAAAAGTATTACACTCTGCCAGTAGTTAATTAGAAGCTACTAAGTTTGGTTTAGTTAGTATAATTAAGATACTTATAAATATATATATTAAATAAGGTATGTAATGTCCACAGGAAAAGTGCAGAAACTCAACGTAAGCCTAGAGAAGAGCACATGATGGAGATGAAGGGGAAAAGTAGAAAGTTTCACGAAATGGCTGGGGAAACATCAAATACTATTACGGGAGAAGGTAAACTGAATTTAGTATGCTTATGTATAGAATAACAATGATTTAACCACTCACTGTTAATGACATTTATTTTCACCTGTATTTCTTCCAAAGACGTCACTTCTTTCACCACAACTGCAAACCATTTATTTTCACCTGTATTTCTTCCAACACCACAACAACTGCAAATACGCTAGTTACATAAGTGAGTGAGTGAGTGGGTCATGTAACTCAGTTCAGATATCCTGTACAGGGAGAGAATTCATCTGTAGCAAAAGAATAAAGAACCAGTATGTCTTGTGTGGTCATACTGCATATGATACAGTGTAAGAACAGTAACAATATTTTTTTAGATTTGTCCATTAGAAAGTTAAGAGGGACAGAATTCTTTTACGGCCTAATGGTTAGCTGGTCATAGTTTTGGTTCTGATGACACTACCAGGCATCTGAACTCCTTAAAATTGTAAGTATTTAAAAACACAGTGTGAAGGAAAATGTTTTAAAGTAAGTGGGAAAGCAAAAACTCTAGGGACATACAGCATTCAAGAAAATACAAAGAAGACTATGTTACAGATGAAGTTCTGTATGTGATACAGTAAAGCTATTTGTAAATGCAGTAATAAATCTTCGGGTTCTGTAACAAAGAGACAATTTCTCTATCAGTTAAATGGTTATAAATTGCTTAAAGAAGATCCTGCACAAAGCAATTAGGTACGTAGTTTTCATGACCCTGGCAATCTGGGCTAAACAAATCCACATATCTTGATGAAGTAGCACAGCGTCCACATCATGTTATGATGTGGGCTGGAGTCACCAGTGAATTGATATTGGACACTTCTTTGATGTGTGTGACTAGTGAAAACTGTCTGGAGCTGTTGTTCCATTGACTAATTCCAGAAAATGATAATGTGGGTGTTCTAAACAGTGTAACTTTGCAACAAGATAGGGTATCAACCCATTATTCTGCTAAAACCTCTGGTTTTCTGAAAAACCAATGTTGATTGCGGACTGAATGACATGATTTTGCTTCTCACAAGTCCCATCCTGATCAACCATGTGTGACAGTTGGTTGTGGTCGTTCGTAAAAGAACAGCCAAGCACAAATCCAATGCACCCTGTTGGTGAGTTAAAAGGTAAAAATCACCTTCTTCAACACCATTACACCGGTAATGCTCCAACAGGTCTCCCACCACACTTGGATGTATACAATTGTGTGTTGGTAATGACAGTAACAATACCAAATAGTTAAATGGCAGAGTGCTGCATGGTGAGTGGTGTGACATTGTTAATTCTGTAATATGTACACTGATATCAATGTCATATTCCTTTGTAATTAAAATGTTCCCATACTAAACCCCTACTCTTATATTATGTCTTTTGTACCATTCTGTCATGGATTCAGGCCATTCCTGGACTTACTCTATGTTGTGTTCATGTGCAGAATCAAAATACAGTAAGCAAGAAGCCGATCTCCGGAATGAACTGCGGGTTACTAAGCTGCAGCTGCAATCAGCTAGGGGGGAGGAAAAAGCAAAATTCAAGGAGACAATCGCCAGAGTAACTGTAAGCAATAAGTGCAATTCCAGATGTAATTTTGTCTTGATCAGAACTTGTTATTCTTGCAGCATTTGTTATTTAAATGTTAATGGTAAATTAGATGTGTGGTCTCTGTGGCTAAGCACCACACCATAAAGACATATAGGGGGAGTGGGAATAAAGCTCCACACATTCTAAAAACTCAGCACTACCTGCAGGTGAACAGTCATTTTCATCCACTGGTAACTTTGTCCCAGGAAAAAAGCACCTGGTACCCACTTGACAAGATGTTGGGTGAGCTATTTAAACAATAGATTTCTGCCCAGAATTTTCTGATCCATCATTCATTATAATTCCTGTAAATATCATAATCAGCTTGATAGTGAACTACTGTTGTCTTGCATTGGTCTTCATATTCAGGAAGTCCTGGGTTCCATTCTTAGACCAACTACATCTTTTCTCACCCCAATTTATTCTCAGTCTGTCCAGAAAAATAATGGGATACAGCACAAAAGTAACTCATTACTGTTTCTTTCCACATTATTTTAAATTAAAATAATAATTTATAATCTTGGTTCCATTAAACACATTATAACATGTGCAACTGAAAAGCATCATTAAATAAACTAAGAAATATGAATGAATGCAATCTATTAACAGTAAGTACACAAACTTGTGAGACAGTTGCTCCGTAATGACATGTAAGTACTGGCATTTCAGGAAAAAAACGAAGCCATTTTAAAAGAAATGTGCAAGGACTATAACGCTAAAATGACCAAAAAAGATACGGAGCTGAAGCAACTGCAGAAGGAAGTGAAGAAATTAACATTCCAACTTTCAAGCACGTAAGTTATCTACATGAAAAACACTATTATGTATGGAATATTTTATACTAAGTTTGCCTCCTCCTCCATCACATGTAACATGTCAATAAAAAAACTGTATTTGAAACCACTATATATGCAGTTAATGGACTGACTTCTTGACTTATATGACTAACTGTTTATCTCACTGACTAAATTACTATCTGTGCCATAGCTCAGCCAGTTAGGAACCATTTTCTCACTATGGAGACACAGATCAGTCCCATGGGCAGTATATATGACAGTAGCAACAGGTTATTTCTTAACTAATCTGTTTCTCCCTACCTCTCTCATCAGATTTATTATCCTCCCCTCATATTTGCCTAAGTTTCTAAAGTGGTCTGTTTCACACATAATGTTGATGTGTTTCTTGTTTTCTCTGTGTGTGCAGCCAAGAGCAGAATGACCTCCTTCGTAAATATGTGAAGGAACAGGCACAGCAAATAAACACACAGGTGGACAACAGTAATCTGAATACAGAGATGCAAGGCCAAGTCTCAGAGCTTGAACAACAGGTATGTCACTACGAGTTAATTTCATGTAACGGACTTGTACATATTCTACATTTAAATGTTTGCTGAAAATATATCTACTGCTACTCCTTACTCATCAATAATAAGTATCACCATTATCTTCTTTCTTCACTCTTTCTTTTTTGGCTTCTTCTTACCTCCATCCATTATACACTCTTCTCTAAACTCTCCTTCCTTTATATAACATACATTCTGAAAATATAAGCCCAAAGTCCATCTAGTAGTATGTCAGTTTGTATCAGAAGAATGTGATTTTTCCTGATTTTCTCAACATTATCCATAATTTCACTTAGCATCATAACACTTTTTTCATTCTTAATTTCTTTCTGTATCCCTCACAGTTACTCTTAGCTGCTTTCCCAGATGCTGTTCCACCAATACTGAGTATGCGTATTTGACGTATTTTTATTTATTTATTCATTCAGCATGCCCCATTACAAGATTGTAATATTACATGCATTAATGTATAACACATTAACAGATTACACAACTGTAATATCGTGATTCATTGCCACCGTTTGTACCTATGTACCTGTGTTATAATCTATGGATTTAATGAATGTATTAAAATGACCTAAATATTTTTGAACAAGTGCTTCATGCAACACTGGCCATGTGCCACCATTCTTGGCTATTGCATCTATTAATTTACGCCTTGGTTGTTGTAGTTTTTCGCAGTCTGTTGTTCATTTATTAATTGGACAAGATTGTTTGTGGCCGCTCGCGGATGTTGCAAGTTAAGTTGTAGGCACCGCAATGATTTTGATTGATTATTATTACTATTTGAGTTGCGTTTTGTATCCATCTTAGTAGTCAGTGTTGAGGATATACCATTAACATTGCCTTATAACAACTAGTCTTTGTCCAATGTTGAGTGGTTCTCATTTACCGGCTTCTTGTTGTATTTGTTGTGGCCAAGACAGTTGATGCATCTGAACTGTTCTCTTGTTGCTTTGCATTCGCGCATAGAATGTTTTCCCGCGCAAAGTGGGCAAGTCAAGTCCCCCTTTACAATCTTGTGCCCTGTGGTTATATTTATTGCAATTGAAACACCTGTATACCTTTACATAATCCTCAATATTGCACATGTTCCATCCGATTTTAATCCTGAGTATGCATTTTGTGGTCTATCATCACATATACACAAGGAACACACTATAACACACCTCAGTTTGTCTACATTAAAACTGGATAAATCACATAAATCATTATTTCCTTATACCTTGTATTCATCATTTACTTTTTCAATTATCGGTCCAGGTAGTTTACTGTACACTATCTTCCTGGTACTAGGAATACATATACTCACAAAATAAGAGGCCACATTACATAGCTACGGAATATATTATGAAAATCTATTTGTTGAAAGGTTTAGCCACTGCCTAAACAATATGTACTTTATTTTGCATGGTGGGGTCAGGTGTTTGACCAGCAGGTAAAACTAACTAACGTCATTAAGAAACACGAAGAGTTACAGAAAGTCCTAAACAAGAAGGAGATGGACATTAAACAGAAGATGTCTATTATAAATGAACAATACGAGGAGTTGGAAGATCAGGATGACATGATTGCCTCACTAAAGAGTCAATTGCAAGAAAAAGATCATAAAATTGCAACACTGCAAAAACAAATGGATGAACAAAACACGTATGCAAAGAAGGTATTCAAACAAAATTACCCGACATCATTCATTAGGGAGTTCTTTTACATATTCAGACTATTCTCAGATTTGTAAACATTTTTCTGTTGCCATTTAAACTGCAATAATGTTAAATGAGCTGTGAAGATCTTTAGCATCATAACACTTTTTTCATTCTTAATTTCTTTCTGTATCCCTCAAAGTTACTATTAGCTGCTTTCCCAGATGTTGCTCCACCTATACTGAGTGTCCATTTTGTGATCTATCATTATGAATACACGAGAAACACACTATAATCCACCTCAGTTCGCACACACTAAAACTGAATAAAGTACATAAATCATTATTTTCTTATACCTCCCTTATCGGTCCAGGTAGTTTACTGTACACTATCTTCCTGACACTTGGAATACATCATCTAGTCAAAAATAAGAGGCCACATTACATAGCCACAGAAAATAACATGCATAATTATCAGCATAGATTATTACAATCAGATGTATTTATTTGTTTAAAGTTTCAGCTACTCTGCTTCAACAGTATGTACTTTATTTTGCATGGGTGGGGGGGCCAGGTGCTTGACCTGCTGGCATCAAGAACAGCAGCTATTAATCAAACTGAACAGTTCCAGAAATACCTATATCAGAAACAGATGGGCAATGAACAGAGGAATTGTCTCATCTCGGACACTTCTTATGAGTTAAATGAATTATTAAAGACACACATGGAAGAGCAAGACACACATGAAAAGAAGGTATTCAAACAAAATTACCTAACATTATGTATAAGAAAGTGTTACTTTTATTTAGACTATTCACAAATTTGTGAAAAATGTTGCCATTTGAACTACAAATGTTAAATGAGATGTGAAGATAGTCATGAATGGTGGGTAGTTAAAACTCTGGAAGAAGGCATCTGGCATATCTCAAGGTACAAACTGGTATTTATATCACCTTTACCTCAACGTATTAGACCACCTTGAGCTATTCTGAAACTACATAAATTGCTCCTTACATTCTGCACAGACTTCTCATTTTTCTCTTTCCTTTACATACATACGGTCTGAAAATACAGGTACGAAGTTCATTTGGTAGTGTGTCATTTTGCATGTGAAGAATGTGATTTCTTGATATCTGTAATTTTATTATGCTTCCTAACACTTTAATTCTCCACTTTATCCTTCATTGATTTCAGGTACTTTACTAGACACTTCTACTTCTTCTTATTATTATTATTATTATTATTATTCTATGGCTCTCCGGTCCATATTTGGTCCATGGCCTCCTCAATTCTCCTCTTCCATTCGGTCCTATTGTTATTCTCACAAAATAAGAGGACACATAACATAGCCACAGAAAATAACATGCATAATTGTCAGCATACATTATTACAACCATTTGTATATAGTCCGTATTATTCTTCCTGGCTTCTGGCCCGCGTGTTATGGGAATGTAGGGAGAGGTATTGGGGGAACTTTCTCAGAAGCAACGAACATCACTGCAGTATGCTGGTTTACAACTACTAGACAAAGGGAAAACATCTGCCATACGTACCCAACACTCGAGACACGCAGAAAACAACTCAGAATTTTTATAGCACGTGAAGAGCTTCGTGACATACTGAGCTTCTATAGCAGTAACATGATTACATCTTAGTTCCCAGTCGTCTTTAGTGAATGAAGTGAATTTCTCATCTGCGAGTTTGATCATGTCTTCCGTTCTGAACGTCACATTCCTATCAGCAACCCAATTTTTAACAGTTACCAAGATTAATTCGATCGGATTCAATTCTGGGTAACACGGTGGTAGACGCAAGACTGAATGATAATGTTCTGCCAGAATTATATCTGTCTTATACGCGCGATACACGGGCTTGGGTTTTTATTAATTCATACAAATCTGGCTTGTGCATGTCTTCCTTTTTTGAAATTCTTTTTTCATTCAGCCAAAATATCATGGCGCTTTTCTTTACATTCGATGTTGGAGGTGAATCAATTTGAATATTGTGGTACAGAGCACAATCTAATACCAAAACGCCGTGTCAAGGTAGATTTGGAATTAGCCTCTGTTAACCACTTCTCAAAATTTTTGTAATTCATGTCGCTGTGATAATCTCCTGTAGTTTGACGGCATTAAAACGGATGTATGAGTTAGGAATGAAACCTTGGTCACTGCCAGCATGTACTATAATCAACCGTTGCCCTTTAGAGACAGAAGCAAGCGGGCCACTGATGGAATCGTTACTCCAACAGAATGGCACTGAGTGAGAGCCAAGGATGTCTCATCCATAAAAACTATGAGTGTACCTTCACGTCTGTACTTCGTTATGCTCCTTAAATATGATGTCCTCAAAGTTCTCATATTATGGCTTTCCATGAGGATTCATCAATTATTCTTTGGTTTAGTCCATCTAAAACCTAACCTCATTAACAATTTTCTTAAAGTTGAAAGGCTCCCTGTAAACCCGACTGACTGGACCAACTTTGCGTGGATTTTCTTCAGCGTCAATCTTTGCTTGCGGTTATATATAAGTCATTAACAGTCCTACAGATAACACATTCATTAAAGTTGTCCAGCGTTGACTTAGGAGATGATACAAGTCTCTCATTATGAGAAGTCGCAAACGAAGTGAATGCACCGGATTGTATGGTTTTCATTTCTTTCACTATTCTTCTGACAGACCTCTCCGATACTCCTATCGCCTCTGCTACTCTTTTCTGGGTCTTCTTAATGTTCATGGGAACTCCTGCATCAGTCTCTTTTTTCATAAATGTATATACAAAACATTGGCTATTAACAACTTTGCCTTGCAATTTACTTTGAATTGGAGGCATCTCAAAAGCGGCCGAATGTTTGTACGTTAGTATCACAACTCGACAGTGTCAGCAATACAACCTCACATGTCCACAACTGCAACACAACTAACCCAAACACCCCCTTTGTGAAGTAATATCGGAATGTGAACTCGCCCAAACCCATAGTGCATCCACAAACGAGGCCAGGAAAAATACAACGGATTATATAATTTGTTCACAGTTTTAACTACTCTGCTTCAACACTACTACTACTACTACTGCTACTCCATTCACTGTCCGGCTCCTATAAACCTAGCCCCACCCAACCAATTGGCATATTCATCGCCCTGATGACGGAGGCAGTATGACCTCTGAAATGTTGGTAAACATCGACCAGACTACACAGCGCAAAAACAACCCAGAAGACAGAAATCTTCATAGTCACTGCTGTGAAAACCTCAGATCTTACATAATATGTACTTTATTTTGCATGGTGGGGCCAGCTGCTTGACCTGCAGGCATCACTAACAGAAGTCATTAAGAAAAATGAAGAGTTACAGGAAGACGTAAACAAGAAGGAGATGGGCATTAAACAGATGGAACGTGTAATAAATGAGCTGAAGAGTGAATTAGATAATATGAAGGATGTAAATGGCTCACTAAAGTTAGCACTGGGACATAAATACAGTGCATTGCAAAACACGAGCGGGGATACATGCAAAGAAGGTATTCAAATAAAATGACCAGATATTATGCATTTGGGAGTACTTTTAAAAATTAGACTATTCACAGCTTTATAAATTATGTAATGTTGTTATTTAAATTTCAAATACTATGAAATGAGATGTGAAGATGGTCATGACTTGTGGGTAGTTAAAAATCTGGAAGAGGCATCATGGCCTATTTTAATGTCTAACCTCACATTTATCTTTAGAGATTGAGTAAGGCCACAAACAGTTTAGTCAGAGGCCTTTTAAATTAAATTTAGTTCATAACCTTTGATCTTGGCTTATTCTATTAAATGCAGCAACAGTCTTGAATAATCACAGCAGGTGAGTCAGAGTCGCAACCCTTATTCCACATCATTTAAATTTTTTTAGAACTGTATGACATTATGACACTTGTTAGTTTAAACTCTTTCTGATTTTTTTAGAACTGTATGACATTATGAGACTTGTTAGTCTAAACTCTTTCTATATCCTAAGTTTTATTACATTCACTGCAGCTGGTAACATGTATCAAATGACAACATGCAAACTATTCTAATTATTTACACAATTCCTATTTATTTTCAAGGTGAGAAATAAGAATGCAAACAGAATTAAGCAACTGCAATCAACTGTAGACAGAAATTAGAGGACTCAACAGCAGCAAACAGAGAAGACTGAAAAAAATTAAAAAGAACCAAGATAAATTAGAGGGAGAATGGGCAACTTTGGTGAATTCAGAACTAATCAGATCTGCTGGTCGCTGTAGCAATTTTTACTGAAAGTGGTCCTAAGAAACTCCAGCCATTTTCAGGCAGAACGGCTTCAGCAACGAGCAGATCTGATGGCTGGAAAAAGTTGCTCCAGCCCCAGTAAAGTCTTTCCTGATCACTGTCCTTCAATCACATCACCAGGCCGCTATCCGTTCAGGCACAACATGAAGTCTGTGGGCCATCCCATAGGAAGATCCCCAGTTTCCTTCAGCCTGTGGAGGATAACTGAAGATTCAAGACTCTGGGTATGCACAGCATGCCCTGTGAATGTGGTCAGGTTGATACTAAGCTGACTGACCAGTTCCACTGAGATCAGGGAAAGGACCTGGTGTTATGTGGAGTATGGTCCTATGTGATATAGCACTTAACTCAATAAAGAGAAAAGAATAAAGGTCCGGGCCAAGAAGAACTAGCGGCACATTCATCTAGATTCTGAAGCATTCAAATAAATCAGCTGTTGCCAAACACAGCATTAGTCTGGGCCATCATATCAAACTCAAGAACACCATCATCCTCTCCACAACATCCAGATGAGCAAGGAGACTACTGAGGTCAGGTCAAACACGACCCAAACAACATGAACAGAGGTAATGGTACTATGTAAATAGAATGAAATTGTCCTTTTCGTCACTTTGACTGCCGACGATTTCAAGATACTTGTCTCTTCTAAGGCATCTCAGTGATTTCTGTACTGTGTATTCTAAACTAGCTTTTGTTTCATCTGGTTTATCTTTAGTATGTGCACATTATTTTAGCAGGTTTCTTGTCCAGACCCAGTACACCTGGCTTTATTAATAAGTTCATGGATGCCCATTGTCCTGGGAAATTTATGACAAAATTTTCTCCGATACTTTCTAGCAGAACCACATTTCACATACGATTCATACAGGAAAACATGCTGTTCAACAGTAACTGAACCATAGCCACCCACACACAACAATAACCAGCATTTAACACAATAGTGGACACACCTGCAGGACTGTGTAAATAATTTTAGCAGACACTGCTGTTAGCATTCGACAGTGTGTCATGGATTTCCTGCCGGGAGCCAGGATAAAAGTAACACATGCATGATTTCAGTAGACACAGATAATGCCAACACATCATCCACTCCATCATCACTCCACCATCAGGGCAATGAGTCATCACCCTGATGAGAGAGGCAGCAAGGACCACTGAAATACTGACAAACTTCTACCTGACTACATGGCATTATGACCCAGAAGACAGCCATCTTATTCATCTCCTACATACTGCTTTCTGCTCAGCTCAACCAGCACAATTTAATTTATATATTTTGTGTTCTGTGAGATCTTGTGAAACAGCTATTCTGAACGTACTCACATAGAGCCAGCTACTTATAGATTTATACTGCATTGTACCTTTCTTAATCAAAGTTTAAGATTAGAATTGTGTTGGAGGTTCTTTACACATGTGGAGAGTGTTCTATCTGTTGGCGACTGGATGTTGGAAAGCAGTGACAACCTTCGGCCTGAGAGACCCCTTAATGTGTAACTGTAGCAATAGATATTATGACTTATGTATGTGTTGGCTTGGGTCAACACTTTGTTTACACAGTTTGGAGGGTACAGGTGCATTTAATTACTGATCTCGTTTCTAAATTCTTTGTCCAAGAATTATGTGCCAGAAACTTTAAAATCACGATTAACTGGACCAAGGTGAAACTCAGCGACTGCTGCATTCCAACATTAATTGAAATAAACTTCATCTAAATATCAAAATATCTGTGTGATTATTTTATTCAAACTGCGAGCCACTAGTCATGTAGCCACGCATATTCCCTGAGAGAGGGACTCATCTCACTGAGTTACCATCAATCAACCCTGAGAACCCTAATTACTACACCTCAGCTGGGCAGTCATAGGTAGGTTCTCAAAACATTCTCCCCAAGATACAACCAACTCTCTCAAAGTAAAATCCAACATTATCATAGTCAGCCACTTGGCATAATCCTGATCTGGTTTAACCGTTTATTTTCAAAACCAATTTCCATAAGATCCATTTCCATCTTTTAAGTGCCTAACTTCCAAGAGATTCTCCTCCAATATTCCATGTGCATTTCATGTCTCTTCATCTGAACAACAAGTCCGACATCTTGCTTCCACTAACCTAAAAATACTATGTGAACTTTAGAAATTACAAAGTTTCGTGTAATGTAAAATCCTAATTTATCCACTTACAAATTTCTCTTATGTCCTAATACTTCCTTCAGCACTTTATTTTGATATATCTGTAATTTACAAATATTCTTCCCTCACAGGAACAGACCATACTTCATAATCATGCCAAAAAAGAAAAAAATACATATTAAGTATAGTATGGACCAGATTACTTGCTCCCTAGTGCTGTAGATAGTTGCACTCGGAATGACCTGGTCAGTGCACGGAACGGCCGGGTAGAACAGATATAAAAAGCGTGGAGGTTCGCACACAGTGCTTATCACCTTGCTCTTCAAACCCCGTGCCAAGAACTCGCAAGTAATTTGGTCCTTACTATACCATGTTTCATGTGTCTTTCGATCCCCTATCACCACTTTTCCCATCACCATTTACTGTTCATGGGGTGAGGATGAGGGGTTGAGAATACAACCCTGCAAATAGCAATGTCAATGGGAAGTTGCATTCACAGTCTGGTTCACTAGTGGCAATATGACCCAACTTCATGGTTAAGTGAATAATTTAACTAGGACCTTTGAACACAGAGTCCATGGGCCATACACATTTTTAGAACTTCTGTCTTATGACCAGCTACTGTAGACCACAGTACAAAATTTTCAAATCAGACTTGATTTCATCTTGAAGTTAAATCAGGCATTAACATTCTATCACTAAACTGACAAAATAAATGAAACAGGTTGTCCCTGTGCTTAAATCTAACATGAAGACACAGAGGGGCATCTTCATGTATTATAGGCATTGCAATTAGATGGGACTGAGTGGTCAGCATCACTCTCTGGTCCCTTTACCACAAGCAAAGAAACAGCCTCATATTTTGCCTGAAAATTGTTACTACCATAAAAATATTTTGCAGTATAATTCCAATATTTGTAGAAAGAAACTCGAGCAAGACAGCAGACCTTCAGTTCAAAGATCAAGGCTATTACCTTCCTAATATGAAAGGAAAATAATAACACTTAATTATGATAGCAATTATGCAGTGATGATAGCAGTAACATTTATTTTGTGTCCACAAAACAAGTATTTGCAGTCCACAGTTTTTTCACATCTGTTTCCCTCAGTGGTATTCTAACTTTTAATACATTAGTCAATTCCCTCTTACTGCCCTTCTTTGGTACATTGTACAGTAGATGGTAAAGTTGTCTGAATGCCTTAATGACAACAAAATAGCCCACCTGTTAATCCTTGTATCATTCACTGTCACTACCAGAATAAGTACCCAGTAATGACAGTCCATTGGGAGTTGGTTTGACAGTGGTACTAGAGCTAGTTAGGGCAGGCACTGACGTAAGTTTTATCGTTGAATCACTAGATGACTTCAGACGAACTAATCCTGTCAGCCCTACTTTCTTGCTGGACGCACCCACACTTTTGCCCCGTGATGTATCTGATGGTTTTAACAATGTACATTCCTGAAAATAAAAAAACATATTCACTTTAGCAGAGTTAGTGACCGATTCCAGAAAACATGGTTCATTATTTAATGAGTTTAACACGACTAATCTTGTTACCTAATCCCGTCAACACATTCAAACAATTTATGTGAAAACTTAAAAATTATACTTGTACTAATTTCATACCTTAAAATCTGATTTGTCTGAATATCTTTATTTCCTTCCTTATCTGCAATAACCTTGAATTCTTCTAATCACAGGATCTCAAAAGCACCCACCAAACAGAAACAAGATAGCGCTGCTGAATTTTGCTTCATGAACAGATCTGTCATGTCTTTCACATTTTCTCCAGCACACATGGCCTTGGGTCCACAAGTGTTCAAAGCTAGACTTTTGTCCCACTTACATGTGTATGATAACACAAAGAGGATTTTTCATTTAAATGTGTTTTACGATCAGGAAAATCATATCTAGACCAGACTTGAACTACAGAGTGCAGAAATGAGTCAAGTTTATCTGGTATGCATTTATCACCTCTTCCACGTGCATTACATGTCCTCCCTTTCCCAGGTCCCTTGATTTGATCACCCTAATAATATAAGATGAAGACTACAGAGTATAAAGCTCCTCATTATGAAATTTTATGCAGCCCCTGTTATGAAGATCCAAAGTACTGTTAAATAAAATGAGCAAGAAACAATATAATTACCTGAATATCAGATTTTGCACTGGCATCATAAGACAGCCTTGCAATTTTCTTTGCAGGTTCAAGTGCACTGGATTTATGTATATCTTCAACAGTTTCTATTATTTCTTCTGATACGACCTTTTTCTTCTTAGAACCTCCCACTCCAAAAACAGATCTTCAAAAATGTACAATGTATTATAAATGAATTACAGCAGTCAAAAAGGGGGAGTTACAATTAAATGGACATTCACAACAGTAAAGGGGAAACTGCTTGTAAAATAATCCCTTGTAACAATGATAAGCAAATAAGATTATATCAAAATTAATCCTCTCATGAATGAAGAGTGCCAATGACGCACTATCTTAAAATATCTGCGGAAACTGGGTAAAACCACAAAGCCTCAATCAAAAATGCGGGTATCTGAACTGACATTCATGCAGGGCACTCCTGAACACAAGTGTGGGGCATTACAACTACATAAATCTCCTTGATGTGATCTATGGGGTGAAATGGGGTAGGATGTGCCACATAAAGCCTTTCAAGATATCTTTAAAGGGTTCTGATGATGGTGGGTTGCAAATGAACTTGACTATTATGTGACACTGTCCATCTTAGTTATTTGTTAAAAACCAGTAGGAAACTGAGACTGCATCTGTCTCCATTTCAGGTTAAGGTAAGGATAAACCGGGGTGTCTACTCTGGTGGGTCTCCATCACTGGATCAGCTCTGTTTAAGGGACCCACCAGAGTAAGAACCCCTTTTCTCCTTACCTGAACATGATGACACAGACAAATCAAGACTCCTAAACCTTGTGATTTTTAACAAATAACCAATACAATGGACAATGTCTAAACTAACAGTCTAGTTAATAAAGTCTTTCCCATCTTAATGCAAATATCACATTCATGAAACTAGCATAAAAATCATGCAAATTAACAAAAGATGTATCTGGTTTTATATATTTAATAATTATAAACTGCAATTTTTATGAGTCCATGGTTCTATATAACCATAGTAGCTGAGAGGAATTTAAGCAAAGAATCAATTAAGTGGGTCTTGCAGAAATAGGTTATGAGGATGTGACTGGCTAAAAATCACATCCATTGCCAGGCTCTGATATTGGCAGAGTTAACTCTTCAGGTTCTACCATAAAGGAGCTAGGCAGTTAACTAATTTATATAGAGGGCTGATCAGAAATTAAACATATTTCCTGGATTTTAAGCATGTACTGAATTTAAGTCGTATTTACCAACATTTCACTGCGATTTTCAAACCGAGGCAGGAAATTTCCCCCCAGGCTTCCTACTTCAGAAATAGTGATGCATGAATTTCACTTATGCGTACTTGTGTAAATAGTGATGCATGAATTTCACTTATGGGTACTTGTGT